CCTTGACTTTCTCAGCGTCTCACGTGGACCTCTGACGTGGACTTGTGTAAGAAGTTGATTGGCTATTCTGATCAAAATCATATGCTTGCACAGCTTGATTAATATCTGTCACAAACGCAGGAGAGCCTTATGCGAGAAAACGATATCGTATAAGATATCTGTTATCCGAACTCGTTACCATCTTCYTTGACTTATCAGCCTTCAACCGCGGAGCTTTGTTTTTAAACGATAATTCGTAAGTATGAAAGTGCACCTAATACTTTTATAGTCTTTTTTATGTTTATTTATTGAACTTGCATTTTTTTGGCGGTTGGGCTGCCTTTTTTCAAAGTTAGGYAGATAAATTGTGGAGCCTTCAGAACCATTCCCTAGTTGCTAAGTAGAAAATAGAAAAAGAATTGGTACGCTCTTGACAAAAGACGTTCACAACATTTCTTTTCATCATTCAAAAACATAGATCTTTAAGCAAAAGTCTAGACATTCAAATGCGAAATCTTGGTATTGTTCTTGTTCTACCACTTTTGGTTGTTCTATCAATTTTTCACAAAAAAAGAATGAAAGATCGATTGCCTGACTTTTTTAGTTTTTCGTGACACTCCGTCAGAATCAAAAATGTTGTAAGCAACCTTGTCGAACGGTTAATTGTTAATTTTGATTTTTCTAGCATTATTTTTCAAAAAATGGATCATCTGATATTTATACTACCTATACCTGACATTTAGTTTTTCCGAACACTTCGTCAGGCAATCAAAAAATCTCAAAGTGCCTAGCTTGTGTATGCCTTATCGGACAGTATTTGTTCGGATTTCTTTCCATTTCTCTTGTTCTGTTACTTGAAATAATTGTTGTTCTATCGATTTTTCAAAACAAAATGCTTGCCTGACGTTTAGCTTTTTGATCACTCCGTCGGGCTGCCTGACGTTAGACACTCCGTTTATTTTTTCCTTTCGCTTCCATAATCGCTTTATTGCTGTATCACTTTTTCCGTGAAAAGTTATCTACAATAAACAAGATCACAGGAGCCAAGCTATGATGTACTCTAAAACACTTCATGAGTTCAGTAACAGCCAAACACTTGTCGTCATATCATATCTTTATGCCTTTCGTCATCATTCAGTATTTTCACATCTGGCTTTCGATTTTGCTTTTATTTGATGTTTAATTCTGCTCTTCAGTGCATCATTCACTGTTTGTTTCACTTGCAGTTTTTAATGTGAAAAACGTGCGGGTCAGTTAGTATTTTAGGTTTAAAAGAGAATCAGCTAAGATCTGACCACTCCATTATGCGAGATATATTGATCGCTTTTGTAAACCGTTAGTGACATTTTCACTCGATCATCAATTTTCAACGTTTATATCTTAAGGTGTTTCATAGTGGTTGGCACTCCCGCGCACCTAACAGTAACTGCCAAGAGAAATAACTTTATACTTGTACAGCATTATCTTATAAGCCAAGCAAGTCTTTTGCTGTAAAACTGAGCTTCAGACATTGGCATTTCATCATGAATTTTGAGCCTGTTTGTAAAAGCACAAAAACGCAACACATGCACGTTTAATCGTTTTTCTCAAAATCGGCTAGAACAATTTCCTTCATTTTGAGATATGCTATTAGCGATATCAAACAGTTAAACGCAGTACTTTTGGTTTTTCTAGGTGCCATCGAAATTGGCCGKAAAAGAGCTTTCTTTGAATTCTTTCTTTCTACCATAAAACTGCTATTTTTGCAGTAAACTAAAAATGAAAATCAGCCGTTTAAAAATGTTAGGTGCGCGGGAGTGCCAACCACTGAAACGCCCTAATTCCTCGATTAGCTTCGAGGAATGAATGCATCTTTATTGACAAAAGTGCGTATCTCATTATTAATTCATTCATTCATTCATTTTTTTGTCTTATCTCATCATTTTCTCGTAATTTGTTTCGTTCATTCAAATTTCAACTCTCTCTTTTGTTTAAATATTGGTTGTTATTCATTGGATTAACCCACATTGATAATACTATCTACTTAAATTCTTTTTTCTTTTTTCATTCTTTGCTCTCTCTTCAACAGGTCTATCCTGTTCATTTTGAGTACATTATTTCGTTCTTTGAAATYTTACCGTGTGCAAAGCAGTAGTCATTAGTATCCTTTGGWAGGCAATGTGTCGTCCGGAAATGTTTTATTCTTTCTTTTGCAG